GGGAGGAGGAGGAGGAGGAGGAGGAGGAGGAGGAGGAGGACAGTGATGACAACTCTGGGGTCCTTCTCTGAGCTTGGTAATTTTCTTGCAGACATTTAATGGCCCAACTATCTAACATCATCAGTGCCAGAAGGGAATGAGGTTTGCTCCCTATCTATATACACAGTCGCCTGCCCCGCCCAGGTTGGTAGATGCGTAGTAGCTTCCTTGGTTGTTGTTTGATTGGGGTTTTCCGCTTCACTGCTTGTCTGGGGTTAATCCCTGCTTATCTGGGTATGAGCTGTTGGAGAATTGTGTGCTCTGGCCTCTTCGTAGCACTGGTGATATGATCTAGGCGGGTCACGAAACATCGGATGTGCAAATTGGAGGCCAGTCCTCTCTACACAGAAAACCACCAAGTGCAGGGAGCACAAAGCGCCCCACAATCCCCCCTTCTCCTCCTCCTCTCCAAACACACCCCTCCCTTTCTAGCATGGGTGATGTTCCCTAGTTGGGTCATGAAACGTCTGCAAGAAAACCACCCAGGCTCGGAGACCAGCAAAGCCCTCGCAGTGCTTCCTCTCCTCCTCCAATCTTTCCTCTCCTCCACAACTCCATTCTAGCACGGGTGAGGTTTCCTAGCTGGCCCATGAAACATCTGCAAGAAAACTAGAGAGCGCCAAGGACCCCAGAGTTCAACCCCCAAGCTACAAAACTTCTCTTCACAACTTCTCTTTCTTAGCCAATGCCAATATTCTCTATGGGTGACGGCTGGTCTCTGCGCATCGGACAGCTGACTTGACCCCTCCAGAAACTGCCCCCTCTCCGTGTCCCCCCACCCCTCCGGGGGGGGAAAAGCTGCTACTCACCTTTGCCCTCTTTGGTTTTGGCTTTGCGGATGGGAAGAGGCTGAGCCGGGGGCTGCAGCAGGTGTTGGGGCTCAGGTGAAGGGATCACAGCCGACACGGCAGCTGAGACTTGTTCTGCTACGGCGGCCGCAGCGGCGGCGGCCGCAGCAGCCACGGCGGCCGTCGATCCTTTGAAAGGGTTGTTGGCACTGAATTCTCGCCACTTGGCCCCCATAATGGTCATCATTTTGGACATGGGGATCTTGGGATTCTTTTTGGCAATGAGAGGCCTGGAGGGAGGAGAAAGGGGGGGGTGGGGGGTGGGGAAAAGGGTCAAACAAACTCAAAAGAGAACCTAAGCACAAATTTCATGGATAAAAACCCTAAAGGGGAAATCAAGAAGCGTGGGAAACAGTGAAAGATACGATAATAAAAGCCCAGTCCAACACAACTGGAAAAGAAAAACAAGAAATCCAAGAAGCTGCACAAAGATACCTTCGATAAACTGAAAGACAAAAGGGATTGAGTACAAAAATGGAAAGGGGGACACCTCGCTAGTGCAGAATATCGGCAGGTAGTCTGAATCTGCAAAGATTTAAGTTTTTGAAAGATGAAGAGCCGATCCTCCGCCTTGAATTACGACCTAACGGGCGCCTAGATGGCCAGACCAACATTCCCTCGCCTTTCTTTCGTGAAAAAAGACTAAGAGGCCCACCACAGAATGGCCCCAAGGTGCCTTATTTATTTTTTTTCCAAGAGGCAACTAGGCCTTTTGGGTTCTTTTCCTTGAAGACGTTTTGCTTCTCCTCCTAGGGGCTTCTTCAGCTCTGAGTTGGATGGAGGATGGAAGGACTGGTACGCCTTGCGGACAGCTGGCCATTCGCATCCTTTTTGAGAGACCCGTTGAGGCCGCTTGGAGGTTTGTCTGTGTCCTCAGGGTCACCTGAGTGGTGCGAGGGGGTGGTGGAGCCTTCTTGGGGGGGGGGGGGGGCGAAAGGAGCTGCGTTGTGGAGTTGTGCTTCTTGCAGGATCCCAAAAGAGGGCCAACAGAACTATTTTTTATCAGGTTCTAAAAGGGAACGTGAGGATGGAGCCACTGAGGGGGGGGGGTCCAACAAACGCTCTAAAAACAGTTTAGGCTGGAAATCTCCGAACATACCACATCAGACGCTGGGGAAGAAGTGGGGGGAAATATAAAATTAAAAATGGCTAGCCGAGATAAGAGGGAGCCTGCTCCTCCAGAGAGCTGCAGCATCACACAGCAATTGCTTCCGCTCCCTCCTCCCCCAGGAATCAGACACACACACACACAAACACACACACACAGAGCACACCAAAGTAGAGGATTAAAGGGGCTCTTATCCAGTCTCCAGGGAAGACAAGAACTGCCAAACTGGAACAGGCCAACGCTCCATTTAATCCGACCGGGGCCCGATGGGGCGCTCGAGCGAGTGGGAGGAACGATGTTGAAATCTTGGCAGAGCGAGCCCAGAGGCACAAGCTTCCTGATGTTCTCACCCACCCACTCACAACCCCCCCCTTCATCTCATCCCCCCCCCCCCAAGCAGAAGACATCCATCATTTGCAATTGTTCTGCTCGTGGGCTGTCAACACTGACAGCCTGTAGGATGATGTCTGACCTGACATGGGGGGGGAAGGGGGGGGGGCTTCAGCCTACCAAGAGCATTGGTTGAAAATGGGATGAGGTCTGGGCAAAGGGGTTCGGCTAAAATGCCTCCGAGGTCCCTTCCAACCCTGTCGCTCTGTGAGGCTGACTAGCTTGCCTCCAGAAGTTGTGGGTTGGACTAGAAGACCTCCGAGGTCCCTTCCAACTGTTATTTCAAAAAGGAGGAGGAGAAGGAAGAAGAGGAGAGGAAGAGGAGGAGGAAGAAGAGGAAGAGGAGGAGGAGGAAGAGGTAGGAGAAGGAGGAGGAAGAGGAAGAAGAGGAGGAAGAGGAGGAAGAGGAGGGGGAGGAAGAAGAGAAGGAAGAGGAGGAAGAGGAGATGGAGGAAGAAGAGGAGGAGGAAGAAGAGGAGGAAGAGGAAGAAGAAGAGAAGGAGGAAGAGGAGAAAGAGGAGAATGAAGAGGAGGAGGAGGAGGAGGAAGAAAAGAAGGAGGAGAGGAAAAGGAAGAGGAGGAGGAGGAAGAGGGGGAGGAAGAAGACGAGAAGGAGGAGAGGAAGAGGAGGAGGAGGAAGAGGAAGGAGAAGGAGGAGGAAGAGGAAGAGGAAGAAGAAGAGGAGAAGGAGAAAGAGGAAGAGGAGGAGGAGGAAGAGGAGGAAGAAGAAGAGGAGGAGGAAGAAGAGAAGGAGGAGAGGAAAAGGAGGAGGAGGAAGAGGAAGAGGAAGAAGAGAAGGAGGAGAGGAAGAGGAGGAGGAGGAAGAGGAAGAGGAAGAAGAGAAGGAGGAAGAGGAGGAAGATGAAGAGAAGGAGGAGAGGAAGAAGAGGAGGAGGAAGAGGAAGAGGAAGAAGAGGAGGAAGAGAAGGAAGAAGAAGAGAAGGAGGAGGAGGAAGAGGAGAGGAGGAGGAGAGGAAGAGGAGGAGGAAGAAGAGGAAGAGGAGGAGGAAGAGGAGAGGAGGAGGAGGAGGAAGAAGAGAAGGAGGAGAGGAAAAGGAGGAGGAGGAGGAGGAGGAAGAGGAAAGAAGGGCCTCCTGCTTGAGCAGGGGGTTGGACTAGAAGGCCTCTAAAGTCCCTTCCAACTCTATTATTCTTTGGTCTATGGATCCCTGGGCTGGCAGAAAATCACAGCAGGACCAACCTAGCTTAGGTCTGCACAGTTAGTCCTCCAATTACAACAGCCCATTTAGTGACCATTCGAAATGAGAACGGCACAGGAAAAAAAAGTGGCCCCTGGGGCCAGGGCTGTTTTTCACCCTTACCACCGTTGCAGCATCCCCACGGTCACCTGACCAAGGATTCGACAGCTTGCAACTGGTTCCTATTTATGATGGTCACAGCATCCCGGCCACACGTGATCCCCCTGTTTTTGCAGGGGGGGGGGGGAAACCTCCCGAAAAGCAAAGTCCAGGGGGGAATCCGCCCGATTCACTGAACGACCAGGGTCATCAAACTGAATTAGCTGCAGGGATGGCTTTAACTGCATGAACGTCAGAGCTCCTTTCCTTCTTCTGATCACACTTGGAATCCCTTCCGTTTTGACTCAGACACGGCTTGCCCGACAACTATGGTCGTGCCGTTGGATCACAGCGGAACAGAAACGTAGATGCTTTTACAAACCACGGTTTGGAAGACCATTGCATTGTAGAAATCGTAAGCCGCGTTAAAAAAATAGGCAGGATAATAGCGTGTAAAAGGCAGGAAAGTATATGCCCTCTTTCCTTAACTCAGGAATGCCCAATGGTTGGTTTTGGGTTTTTTTTCCAGACCAAAAGTCATTCTTGGACCTTGAATGCCATGTAAGGAGCTATGTAGGTAGTCCTCGACTTACGACTGTGATTGAACCCAAAACTTGCTAAGCGAGACATTTGTGAAGTTTTGCCCCACATTACGACCTTTCTTGCCTTTTTCTAGAGTCTCAAGATGTTGAGACTCTAGAAAAAAATGCAGAGAAGAGCCATCAGGATGATGAGGGGACTGGAGGCTAAAAGATACGATGAACGGTTGGAGGAACTGGGCCTGGCTGGACTAGGGAAGAGAAGCACCAGGGGAGACAGGAGAGCAGCCTTCCAATATTTGAGGGGCTGCCACAGAGAGGAGGAAGGGGGTCAAGCTATTCTCCAAGGCCAGACAAGCAACAATGGATGGAAACTGATCAAGGAGAGATTCAACCTGGAAATAAGGAGAAACTTTCTGATCGTGAGAACAGTCAACCAGTGGAACAGAAGTTGCCTTCAGAAGTTGGGGGAGCTTCATCCCTGGAGGCTTTCAGGAAGAAACTGGACTTCCATCTGTCAGAAATGGTGTAGGGTCTCCCGCTTGGGTACCTTCCGACTTTGATTATCTGTTAAATCTGTTATTCTATTCTATTCCAATTCTATTCAAGTCACCATTTTCTGCAATGAAACAGCCTCAAGCAAAACTTTCCTAATCTACAGAGTAAGATACTATCCTAATCTTGAATAAGTATAATTTGTATCCAGGTAAATCAGATCATGAAATTGTTGCCACAGCTGTTCAGTGAATCACTGCAGTCGGTAAGTTAAGTGACCTGGATGTTAAAATGATTCTGGTCGCAAAAGGAGACCACATGACTCCGGGGCACTATGACCGTCACAAATATGAGTCAACGGTCAAGCAGTCTGAATGTTGATCAGGTGATCCTGGGGGATGCTGCAAAGATCTTAACTGCAAAAAAAAGGGTCATCAGGTCTTTTTTTTTTTCCAGTGCTGTTGTAACTTTGAATGGTCACTAAAACGAACTGTTGTAAGTCAAGGACTGATAAGAAACGGCCAGGACAAAGACAACGTAAGGTCGGAACAAAAATGAAATCTGATATGATTTAATGTGAGGCCTCTCTATATCAGAGGAAGGTGAATACCATAATTTTTTTCCCTCTCTTCTATTACATTAGGGTGAAGAAAAAAAAATCAATTTGGGGAGGGGGGCACATTTTTCCAGTCTGGGGGTGGCGGGTGGGGGGGGGGGCTTTCCTTCCAACCATTTTAAAATTTATCCCGGCCTGCTCCTTGCTGCCTGGCGCTATATGATCTCATTATTTTTTTTGACGAGGGGATCGGGGCCCGGTTTAATTATTGATGGTCGATACCCTCCCACAATGCACCGCAAGACGGGCGATTAAAGGAGAAGGAGAGATGCCATTAAAGAAATACGAGCTTGGAGCTTTTAAAAAAAAGGAGAAAGGGGGGGGGGGGGGGGGGGGG